TCACCGATGTTATGTCTATTTGGACCGCACGAAGTCAAGGACGAGCTTTAAGAGGAGAGAGGGCCTATCGTCAAGTATGTGGTCAGCGAGGAAGAAATGTGACTGCGGCAATGGCAATTTCCCCTACTAGTGGTCTAGTGTTTCACTCAGCAATACTCGGAGGCATGAATGCACGAAGATTTGATGATTTTCTCGCGCAGACAAGGCTAAATCTCGACCCCGATGAACACTTGATTTTTATTTATGATGGTGCGCCAGCCCACAGGAATCCTGCCATTCCCGGACCTAATTCAGAATTAAGGAAATTGCCACCTTACAGTCCCTTTCCCAATATTGTTGAACAAGCTATTAGTGCCTTGAAAGCTGCAATAAAGGCGGATATAAGTCGTCCTGAAATTCAAGTACAGATGAACGACCGCGCTGAAGCCAGACGTCAAGGACTTGCCTTGGGAAATTACCGCACGCAGTTGTTACTTCAAGCACTACAGAGGAATATTGGTACCATCACTGTCGCCAAATGTGGACGGTGGTTCAGGTTTATACAGACGTACTTACCAAGATGCATCAATAACTAAGCAATCGAAGGATAATAGCCTTAAACTAAGAAACAATTTTGAAATTTCGTTTCCCTTTATTGTTTGTAATTATTACCCAAATGTTTAACGATTCGCGGGATAGAATGTAACTTTTCAATAAATGATTGTCTCTTGATGCCATTGATTGTGCCTCCCTATGCCAATTGACTTCTTGAATGTCTCTTTTTCTCTTACGATTGTCACAAGATGTTAATGATTTTCTTTTGGAGTTACTGATTGTCAATTGCGGGCGTTTAAATGTGCAGTTGGCGTCCTTGATTGTCGATAGATGCTCTTGTTTGTTCGTTGACACTATTGATCGTTTATAAACATGCAAATTGCGCTCTTGAATGTTCCGTGGCGTTAATGAAGTGCTTCTTGGTGTTATAGAACGTATATTCGCCTTATTGATTCTACACTTCGCGAAAATGAATATCTTTTTCGCCTAAATGATCAGCAAAAGGTGTACTTAGATCTTGCAAGTTTTAATTTATACTGAAGTTTTAATTCCTACCTGGAAAGGGTGTATTCTCTAAGACCTTTGTGTAGTCGCATTGCAGTAAATGTTCCTATACAACCTCGTAGTCTGTGATCTTGGCCAATCTTCCAAGTGACAAAGAGGGGGCTAAAAATCATAAAATAGACAGCATACTTCTCAACACTCGAGAATAGAAAAGCAGGGGTTAGACAGTTGTAAAGCAATATGATTTTGAAACCTGAGTTGATAATTGGCCACTATAAAGAGTTGGTAAAGCTGACGTTTTGAGCATTACCCCTTTGCCAGAACTCTACCAAAGGGCTGAAACTCAAAATGTCAACTTAACAACACTTGCTACAGTGGCCTATTTACTTCATCAAATTAGTCTCTAAAAACCAAATTATTGTGTAATACCACCATTTGCACGGTACCACAATTTCTATGAAAGCTTACTGGCTTCATCAAGGGCATAGCTAAGAGGGAATCTCGGGGTACCTGTGCCCTCTCAGGGCTTGACACTAACGGTAGCCCACTAGCCACAGACTAGTCGAAATTCAGTTTTGGCTAGTGGTTTTCAATTTCCACCAACCAGTTTGGCTAGTAAACAGACTGAAATTGTCGTAACATCTAAAAACATCCAAGATGTCACTCGCCACTTGGCTAGTAAGTTGAAAAGTTAGTGTCGAGCCTTGCCTCTCAGAACTAATTATTTACAAATGTGTCACAGCCAGAAGGGAAAATTAACAGTTAGATTTTGGGAGTTATAAGGTTGAAATCAGGGATCAAACTCATAACTTAGAAAACAAAGTGAATCACCAATAAAAGTCAATACTGATACATGCACAAGGCTTGAGATTATTGCCTTCCAAACCGCTTTCACTTCTAGAAATGACCAAGGTGTAATTTCTCCTAGCAATGTCAATTCATTTTTCGTAGAAAGGGGATGAGAACAAAGGAAAACATCAGCTTGTGGATCTCATTTAATTTAACAGCAAATTTTAAGAGCTGAAATCATGGGAAATTGATAATGGAAGTATAGAAAAGTGCTATTTGGTTCCTGGGGAAAGAAAGGGTAGCTTCAATCTGCTCTTGAAAGTGTATTGCAAAATTCAGGCTAGATTCAGCTGCATAAATTGAACAGCTTAGTGAACTTTCAACTTTTACATTAATGTAAATCAAAACAATAGTGGGTATAAGAAACAACAAAGTTAACTCAGTAAATTACTGTTGAAAAAAATCTGGGAATCTGAAGGAAAATTAACTTGAATGAATGAATTCCATCAAGTTTCATTCAAATTCGTACTTCATTTGGATATCAGCAGGCCAGGCTTGGTTAGAATGAAAAAATAAAGATAAGCTTGAATGAAAATTTAACAATAGGAGGAAAATCATGGAAAAATTATATAATCATTTTACATACATCTACTACAGTTTTGTTTACAAAAATTGAGGAATAAAGATAGTTTTGAAACCATAACAGGAAGTCAGCTCACTCTACAAATTATATATATATATTTTTTTCTTATAATTCAGTTAGTTGATATCAAACTGTTGACAGTTACATCAATTTAATTTTAAAAAAAGTTTCTTGTTTGGTTTATTCAAAGCAAGGCGAAATTAAATTCATTATGCAAAAATCAATTCGTTAAAAACAGTATGCTGAATGTTTAAATACAAAAAGTTTTAAATTTATTGGGTTGGAAAGCAAATATATTTATTGTTCCGTGAGAGTCACCTTGGCAAATGCAAAAACATCGATTATCTGAAAATCTTTTTCAAACCAGGGTTAGTATGACCACATAGATCTCAAACAAACCGGCATGAGGGAAAAATTGCCAAAAATTTCAATTTGTTTTCAACCACGAGAACTGAACCAATGTAAAAAGATTGAGCAACAAAATGTATTTGCACCAATGGCCAGATTATAAATATTAAGTTTAATAAGCCTGAACAAACTACACAGCTGACGCTGATGAAAAAAAAAATTCATTTACATAGTAAGCTCATAGAAGAACCTTGCGAAATGGAACTATGTTGAATTTGCTCGATTTTGAAGTGGGACAATGGCTTGAAAATTTTCCTAGAACATCCCTTATGAACGATGCTCGACCAATTCCTGGGAAAATTTTACAGGTAACATGTCAAGAGCGATATAATCTTGGAGGTTCAAACAATAACAATGCCAAAATTGGTCGACTAATTTGCATTTTGTTTACTGTAGCTTCGGTTCAAGTCATGCAAAACACTGCCTGTTTCAAGGTCACATAACAAATTTTTCACCGACCTTTTGAGGCTCTAAAGACTGTTCTGAGGGCTAAACGGAATGGAGTAAGCGGCGAAGATTTCATTTATAACCAAATTCGTTGTTGGTACATCGAACCTTCGGTCGCTGAATCGGTGTTTCTTTTCATGTACAATCTTTTGTTGTCAAGAATAAAGAAACCCCTGAACTAGGACACGGCCGTTTTTCACTCAAATTTCGTCTCTCTGAACTATAGATTTCCCACATGAAGATCAGCTAACCTATCGCTTCAGTCGGGAAAGCTGCAAATAAACCAAGGAACCTTGTTATACTCACAACTCATCGTTTGGGAAGTTTGGCCAAGGCGGTTCGTGATGATGATATAAGCCTAGATGCATGGCTAAGATATCAAAGCAGTAAAATGCCATTTCTTTAGTAACTATTCGGTGTCTAAAGCTGTTCCTTGGGGCTACATCTTTGTTAGCATTACGATAGTAGTTCATATCTTCGGCCTCCCGATCCGCCACAAGCAAGCTCTGACAGCAATAAAACGGCATGAAAGTCTAAAGAGAATCTTTGAAATGAGCCAGCGAAAGAACTGCTCTGCGATTTTGTGTTTTGTTCAAATTACACCGGAAATGTCGTCATTGACGATGCCAAAAAGAGAACGTTCCGGAAGTAAACTGAAGTAACCTGTTTCCGGTGACCGACTGTTCCTGTATTTCAGTATATATTTAGTGGATTTTCCTTTATGAAATTGGTTAAATTCACTGCCAATGGATGTAAAGGAAACTTCTCATTCTGATTCATTTTCATGTTTATTTCCTCTTTTTCAGTCCATAACGATTTTAGCTTGGCAAATGGGGGTTACTACTTTTTGTAACAAAAATAAAAAAAAATGAAGACTTTTTTGTAATTTGTAAGTTTTCTTTTTCAATTATGAAATACTTGGTTTCACTATGGTAAGGATAAGAAAGATAAAGTGAAAATAAAGGAAACAAACACAGAAAAACCAAAACATGTGCCTAGAAGAAACAACTGTTGAAAAAAATGGAAGGAAGCTTAAACTAAAACGTTTTTTTTTAAGTAATTTTCAAGAGGCAGATGGCAGCTGGAAACTGGAGGTTAAGAGGTTTTCTCCTTGGCATTGACCCCAGCCCTTCTGTCAGTATTGTTAACTTTAAAATGCTGAAAATGCTTGCTTAATGTCGGAGTGTGCAAGGAGCTATTTCATACCCTTTCCAGTTAACATTTATCTCTCCTGTAACACCCTGCAAGGTTCCTTAACTGTATGAGACAATAACAACAACAACAAAAAACAACAACAACACAAAGGCTACAAGTTTGAATTTATTTCAGTAAAAATGACTATTTCCTCTCTAATGAATCATACAACATCTGGCTAAGGATCTTTAACTTTAATGGAAGGGGAACTTGAACTGAATAATAAAATATTTGTGCATAATTATGGTTTTACAGTCAGTAACAAACCTTATTACACGACTCGGGCAGTCAGAGGGCCAATAACTAAAATCAACCAATCAAAATGCTCTATTGCCGGTCAATATTCTCTCAGTATTTGACAGGGCACTGTCCCGAATGGTCCCAAATGATATCGCACTTGTGTCCTTTTGAACTTCAGTCATGTAATAAATCTCTTATTAACCAAGCTTGCTTGGGACTGTACTGGAAGAATATCGGCCCTCGGCCTTTTTTGTACGGACAGTCAAGACCTCGGGCCAATATTCTCCCAGTAAGGCCCTCGCGCTTGGTTAATAAGATGTATTTACACTGAAGATGCACAGACTCTGATCATGCAAACATATTTCTTTTATTTGTAAAAATCATCAGCTTTCTTTCAAAACATCCAATGACAAGTTGCAACAATAAAATAATGGTATGCAAATCACAAAGTGAATAATATTGTGCAATAAGTGATTAAACCTTTAACTTTCAAGATCTGATTGTTAATCCTCCCCTCCAGTTGCTACTTCTTTCCTTGTAAATAAGTTATGAGAATTTGGTGTTAGATCAAGATTACTTCTACTTGATAAATTTGAGCATTCTCTACATGTTTACTGGATATTGTTTGGATATTAAGGGAGAAGTTACTTGTTAATAATTTCTAAGCATTAAACAAGCAACGAAAGTGAAACAAACTTTCATAGTTGTACATGCAGTGAGCTCAACTCCAACTTAGCAAGGCCATCATCTAAGATTCTTTTTCTCTCACTGATTATATCTTGAGGATAGTTTACAAGTCATTGTTTTTCCTATTCATATATAAATATATAACAATATCATGTTCTTAGAACTTCAATAACCTTCTATAAAATGCATCAGTCCTTGTAAAGTACACAAATTTCCCCTTGGCCCAAGCAAAAACCACAGCTGGGCATGGAAGAGTCTTTCTTGTTTGGAACGCATTAACAATGTTATAGTGTGATAACGTTGTTAATAAGCATCCTGTTACTTGTCTGCATCTTCAAACTGCTCGTCATTTCCTGCATTGGGTTCCATTTCATCATCAGCTATGAACAGGAAAATCAACATGTCATTCAACGTATACCATAAATCCTCTAATAAACTGCCCCCCCTCTAATAAACCGCCCCCCTCTAATAAACCACCTCCCCTCTAATAAACCACCCCCTCTAATAAACCAACCCCTCTAATAAACCACCTCCCCTCTAATAAACAACCTCCCTCTAATAAACCACCCCCCTCTAATAAACCACCCCCTCTAATAAACTGCCCCCCTTTAATAAACCACCTCCCCTCTAACAAACCACCCCCCTTCTAATAAACCACCCCCTCTGATAAACCACCCCCCCTCTGCTAAACCAACCCCCCTCTTATAAGGCCCCCTCTTTAGAGGAAGAAATTTATTTAAGCCCCCCAATCCTCCCCCTCAAAAAAACAAAAATTCAAAATAGCACTCCATGTTAGAAACTACGATAAATTTATTCAAGTAATGTAATTTTAGTTTGTCATTTCAAATTGATTATGGTGATTGATTGACTGATGTTATCTTGTTGGCATCGGTAGAATACAAATGAATATAAATCATGGAAATTACAGAGCAATGCTAAAAAATAACATGGGGGCTAAAGAGTTGACTGTTATCTATACAAACCTGGCACATTACTGTGACCATTAAGGTAGAGCCCATTACTGGTGGAAGTCATCTGAACAAACTCTTCCTGACTCGGCATCTGCAGAATGCCTTCCAGCCTTTCAAGTGTTGCCTATGATTAGAAAGAGGAACAAATACAGTTTAGGTAGAAAAAAAAAAAAGATTTAAATTTTTTTTTCCTGAAGATAATGAAACCCCAAAGAATTCAGTTTCTTACTTAATTTCACTATTGTAACTTTGACTGACAACCCTGGATTCTAACCATTTCACTCATAAGATCTCACTAGTAATTCTCCTTACTGTCTGGCATACAATTCTTATCATGTAAGTTTGGAGAATTTGGTATTGGATCAACTAAAAATCCCCTTGTTGGTATTTTTTCTTTATTCTTTATTTTGTAAGGAATAGCCAAATTCACAACTATGGTACCAGAACAGCCAGAACTATCGAACTCATTTGTGCCGTACAAATCTCAGGCAATTTACAATTCTCTACCAAGGTCCTAAAATTGGGAACTCTCTCCCTAATTCAGTCACTCATTCTTCAAACTTTCTCAGCTTTAAGACAAAATTGCAAGAGTTTTATTTAAATAATCACCGAATTGGCCAAGCGGCACATTTGGAGCACTTTTTCTTGACTTGATTTATTATTGTAAGTGAGGTGGCTCTCCCATAAGCCCGGCGGCTTCTTGGGTCTCCTCGCCTTCTAGCCGTTATCACTGTAATTAAATATTTAAATAAGGCAAATAAAAGATGATGATGATGATTCTCATCCCTTGTCTGCTGAATAGAGTAATGATATTGTAAGGAGAAATTATGTCTTGGTCACCAACGAGAGTTAAAGGATTAAGTTTCTTTTATTGTATTACAGAGGTTTAAAAAAAAAAAACATAAATTACAAAGAATCATACCTGTCCTTCTTCTGAGAGTTCTCCTTCCTCTGCATCACAAAAGAAATCTTCGTCTTCACCTAAAAATTTAAGGTGAGATAAGGTACAGTCAGTGATCAAGCCAAGCTTTTTCCAGTGTCTGTAGCATGGAGTGACTCTGAGTATTACTACTCCCCCCTAGATGGTATGCTACTTCATTGCAAGGTTACCCCCCCTCCCCCAAATTTCATCTGACTTCCCTGACAAGAGAGGTATTGGGAGAGTAAAGATTCTTGCCCAAGAACACAGTATGGTGAGCCTGGCAAGCGATCATACCTGCCACGCTCTAAAATAATCATTCCAATTAATATTTGAATGTATGATTGGTGATGTACCTTGCCCTTCCTCATCTTCAGGGTCGGGATGGAGAACCTGACAGTCTGATAATGCCTTGAACATGGGATCCACTTGTAAAGCAAAAAAA